CACTTCCCCCAACTCTCCCAGGACCTCATCCTATCCTTTATCTTTTTCCCCCTCCCTTGTGACTTGAATTTTCCCTCCTGTTCTTTCACATCAACCAACAGATCTATGTAAGCCCACGATTCCTATTTTAGATTCTATATGTGGATGGCTCTCGACTCTATCTGTAAGAGAAACGCTCTTGTTGGAAACTCTAGAAACAGATTCCCAAGCATCGATTTCACATCTTAGGTACCTCCAACTCAACATGTTCAGTTAAGAGCTGACCTTTCTTCTCCTGGACAAAACCTGCACATATTCTGTTTCTTCTCTTGCCATTGGCAGCTCCCAGAATTAAAGGTCTTAAAGCCATCTTTAATTACTTGCATTTCCTCACATTCCACTCCCACTCACTTGTAAACATCTTCTGGCTTATTCCTCTGAAACATCTCAGAACTGTCTTACATACTCCAAACATGGTCACTTGCCCAGGCCCCATTTGCTGTTATCTGCCAATGACATCTGATTATAACTGGACCTCCATTTTCAGTTATTTGCCCCTTCAATCCATTGGCTACACTACCTTAAAATTGTTTTTCTTTTTTTTTTTTTTAATTTTTTTAATGTTTATTTATTTTTGAGAGAGAGACAGACAGACCACAAGTAGGGGAGGGGCAGAGAGAGAGGGAGACCGAGAATCTGAAGCAGGCTCCAGGCTCTGAGCTGTCACCACAGAGCCCGATGCACGGCTCGAACTCACGGACCGCGAGATCATGACCTGAGCTGAAGCCAGACGCTTAACCGACTGAGCCCCCAGGCGCCCCCAGAGACAGGTTTGATTGTTACAACTGGGGGCGCTACTGGTATCTAGTGAGTGGCGGCCAAGGATGCTGATAGACACGATACAATGCACAGAACAGCTCCCCTCAGCAAAGAATTATCCGGCCTCGAATGTCACGAGTGCCGAGTTTGAGAAATCCTGCGTCACGCAACCACACAAGATTTTCCTTGAAGAAAGATTCTACAGTTAACTCAGAAAACCACTGCTGTCAACCAAAAGCCCAAAAGCAGCTGCTTGCTGTTCAGGGGGTGGGGAGGGGCAGGGAGAGACACAGCATTCGTGAGGCTGACACAAGCAGGTACAGAGAGAGCAGAGGCAAGGCTCCGAGGAGATGGTAAACCCAGAAAACACAAGCAGGACCTCTGACCAGCAGCCTTCATGCTGTGTTTCATCCAATACCCCGAGCTCTGCCCCTCAGGGTCCTGCTCGGAAGGTCCTGAATGCGGCCAGTAAGTCGGTGCTGGGTTTTCTGGAGAACCAATGGCATCCAATTACAAGTTAGCATCTCAAGGCTAGCGGCCTCCCACCGAAGAATCCCACCGCACCGAGGAAAAGTGAGGGCCTGGGTTTTAGAGCGAGCGTTGTTATCAGACCATAGCTCTTGTGGCAGATTCGGTGTATTCAACTCTGTTTTAAATATTTACATTCATCATCTGGGTTTTTCTCCCCACAAAGTTTTGTAAAAATGGGTAGCGTCGTCACTATTTAACAGATGAAAGTGTGATCAGTGAGGTGACCCGACTTGCCCGGCGTCAGGAAGAGGGCCCGCGGCAGAGACGGGATTGCTGCTTTCTGGGAGTAGGTTATAATCGTCCTGGAAAGCACGGGTCATAAGGAGGATTTTTTCAGGACAGACGACTTGGCTCAAGTTCTCCCTGTTTCTTGTACTCAATTCTGTGGGCGTTCCCACAAGCAGAGGAATCACTATTGAAAATCGGATTTGAGGGGCTCAGTCGGTTAAGCGTCCGACTTCGGCTCAGGTCATGATCTCACGGTTTGTGATTTTGAGCCCCACGTCGGGCTCTGTGCTGACAGCTCGGAGCCCGGAGCCTGCTTTGGACTCTGTGTCTCCCTCTCTCTCTCTCTGCCCCTCTCCTGCTCACGCTCTGTCTCTCTCTGTCTCAAAAATAAATTTTAAAAACATGAAAAAAAATAAAAAATAAAAAAAATAAAATCGGATTTGTCCATGGCATCTGTAGGAACACATAGAGAAACACAGAGGAGGAGAAAGAGTAGTTGCTGAGATGGGGCATCCTTTGCTACTCTCCCCAAGAGAGCCCTGTTGGGGGCAGCATACAGAAAGCCTCCGTTTCTCATGTGCAAAATGAGGAACTAGGCTAAAGACACGGTCCTCACTCCCCTATGCCCAACAAAAGTTCCTGCAAAATTCAAGAAAATATGCCACTGCCTGGATCCCAAACCCAGAGATCCTGACACGATTGCTCTAGGGTAGAGCCCTGACAGCTGGTCTTTTTCATAGACACCTGGGGTGACCCCACGTGCAGAGGAACGGAGAACACAGCCACCCATGATGCTATCTGCTACTTCCAGCTGCTTCTCTACATAGGTCTTGCCTCAGACCCTGAAGCCAGCCTACCTCCAGTGGCACGTCATGAAGGGACTCCAAAGCCACAAGACTGATTTCTACTCAGTAAAAAAAAAAAAAGTAAAGTTTTGGGTGCGAAAACAAAACAACACAAACAAAACACACAACCCCAAACAAAATCCATTTGGGGCAGCACACAAGCACACAGAATAATACATGCTTAAACATTTCAGCAGAGCAATCAGAAGAAAAGACACAAGAAAGGGGACTGTGGAGTTTAAAGCTGTTCCCTCTAACGTCATCCAATGTCTGTCAGCCAAGAGGGAGCTGGCACCCTCTTATAAAGATTCAGTTTTTTTCTGAATACTCCGCATGGTGATGGGCCACTGGATGTGGTAGGCAAGGCCACGAAGAAGTTTATGAACTCATTTGGGAACGACTGTAACTCGTGAGCCAGGAGGGAATCAAGGCTCCCTTTTTTTTTTTAATGTTCATTTATTTTTGCGAGACGGAGAGACAGAGTGCGAGCAGGGGAGGGGCAGAGACAGAGGGAGACACAGAATCGGAAGGGGGGCTCCAGGCTCTGAGCTGTCAGCACAGAGTCCGACGCGGGGCTCGAACTCACAAGCGGCGAGATCATGAATGAGCCGAGGTTGGACGCTCAACCGACTGAGCCACCCACGTGCCCCATGGCTCCATTATTTTTTTATCATCACACCACATAAGAGCCACAGTGAGGCTACCAAGTCTGTTGCTCGTCACTTCCCCCAGCCTGTCAATCCGTTTCCATGCAGGCCATACAGGCCGACTAGACGCTGCACTAATAACAATAACTGTGAGTACCTTTACTATTACCAGCGGCAGGAGCAGTATTGATGCTCTTACCTCTGTACCGTTACCATTTATATCATCAGTTGCTGCCTGATGAGTTGAAAAGCTCCAAAAAGCCCTCCGCATTCTACGAAGACCCCCTTCTTAACGCTAGAAATTCTACCAGGCTGATCACTGTCTTGCTGTCTTATCCCTTGGGTTTTGAAAATGAAATGCACCTGTTTCTGACATGAGGCAGTACTTTCAGTCCCACCTGCGTTCCAGTGAATTATTTTGCTTGACTGTTTCCTACTGACCTTGACAGATGGGTGCTGACGACCTCGTGGAATTTGGAGACAGAGAGAGAGAGAGAGGGGGAGAACTTCAGGAGCGGGGCACGGGGAGGGAGGCAAGGTGCTGAGGGCAGAGGCTAAGTTCATCAGAGAACAGACGGTACAGGTCCCCAGGTGGCCAGCCCCGTGGCAGGAAAGCCATTGTTCTGCAGTCGGACCGGCACTGGGTATCAGGAACGTCTGAAGCAGTGGCGGCCACAGAGAGGTCCCTGTGCATCTGTACCACAGGCTTCCTGGTTCCTCTGCCAGAGGGCAAGGTTTTTCACCTCTCAGAGTTGAAAGCTTATGAAGTCAGCACCAAGGGAACTTTGCAAGGTCTTTCTCCCATCTGGCAATTCCTCCAGGGTGCCTGCCTACACCTCCTCTTCCTGAAAAATCAAGGAAGTGACTAAACGTATCATGTGTCAACATTTTCAGCAGTCACCAGATGCCTTTCCCATTCTTGGGAGTATTTAAAGTGAAATACAAATGGGGCAGGTGAAATGTGCTTTGCAAATAGATGTGCTCAGGAAAAGGTGCATGGAAATTCATCATTGTTTTGTCTTTTTTTTTTTATAACTTAATATCGTCTGGTAGCAAAGGCTTTGTAAAATAGAGCCTTGCCACGCTGATGGGTAAAACCACATTTTACTTTAATGATTTTTTTTAGTTTAAAAAGGAACACATAAAACTGTCATTTCTTAAGGGAAGGACTGGATCTTGTTACATGAAGTTTCTAGACAAAAAGCAATCTTCTGCTTCAGAACAAACTCTGCCAGATCAGCCGACTCCAGCACTGGCTCATCAGGCATGGGAAAAATAGTTTTGCCAAGGTAAACACTGGTCTTGTGAAATCAGACCTGAGGTGAATCTTTTCCTTCTTTCTTTCTTTTTCTTTCTTTCTTTCTTTCTTTCTTTCTTTCTTTCTTTCTTTCCTATTGTGACAAACTTGAATAAGTCATTGTAGACCTCAATTTCCTTATTTGCAAAGTGGAGGCAAAAAAAGCCAGCGTCAAGTGTGTGATCAAGGTTAAATACGATTAAAAGTGATAACAGATTTTCAAAACTGGTTAATCATAAAGTGTTATACAAAACAGGGTCTGTGTAGGGGATCAGAAATTGACGTGGAACAATTGAGAGACACACAGGTCTACACAGAGAGATTGTAAAAAGAGAGAGAGAGAGAGAGAGAGAATTAGGTAATACTGAAGGATCTGAATACAGAGGTGGAGGCCTGAGAAGGACAGTCACCAGGAGAAGAGACACAGAAAAGAGAAATTCCAAGTCAGGCTCCAAAGCAAAGCCAGTGACCTCATCCTAAGGTCTTTGCTGAAGATGAAGAGGAGAAAAAGGTGGGGCAAACTTTTGTACAAGTGGGAGATACTATGGTCCAAAGTCATCAGGTGTTCTCTGCCAGGATCTTGTCTACAACCCAAGCATGACAGTTATATGCATATATTTTTGGAATGTTCTAGAATAGCGAAGCTGGAGCTGGCATCAAGCCTAGTACTTTTTCACAGTGTGAAGTTTGGGAAAAAACAGCCGTCTGACATTTCCTCTTCTACCCAGTGCCTCTCCCATTTTTACTTGGCCAAGAGGCAAAAATGTATATGCACAAGGGCATCTAACATCCTTACCTGGAATGTTTATTTTCCCCTGCTGCTTCCATTCTACCATGCTCCAATTAACGTTAATCTCGCTGCAGCAGTTCAAAGATACAGGATTGTTATCACACGTCACCTTCATTTCTTCAGTTGCCAAAATTCGGATGGGTGTAACATCCATTTTTTTTCTGGACTCATATTCAAAAATATCTAATGTCAGCTTGCAAATATATTCACCTGCATAGAATATACAAATGCATTTTTTATGGCCATGTATATGTATTTCCTTAGAAGAATGATTGCCTCGTCTCGTGTGTCATGACAGTATTTCGCCAAACATCGTTTGCAAAAGCATCCAAGGCTTGCTCTAAACAACCCTGAAGACACATTCAGGAAGTGCAGAAAGTCAATGCAGATCATTTCTGATGCCGCAAGTTAAATGAGTAGAGAGATGTTCTAAGGAAGGAGCAGAAATCTCAGTCTTTGCTGGTAAGAAAAAAAATGTGTGGGGATGGAAGAGGTAGCAAGGAGAGATAGAAGACTGTGGATGATTTGGGCGTTCTATTTAACTCTGCGGCAAAATCAGAATCGATAAAGATGAACAGGACCCGTGGGTCTGCAACCCAACTTCTCAGTCAGCGAAAAAGAGGTGCCCGCCCCCACTGCCCCATTCACATCTGGGTTACAACGGGGTTATTAAATTCTAGAATGTCAGGTTTCAGACTTCTGCTTCTGTTGTTTTGGGGGAAGGAGAGATTACAACAGAATGCAAGAAAACTGGGCAGGGGGTGATGGAGGGCGATGGTCCTGACGAGGGTGGTAGTTTCACAGGTCTATACATACGTCAAAACTTGTTAAACTGTTAAACTATACACGTTTTGAGTATGTACAGCTTATTGTATGTCTCAACAAAGCTCTTTAAAAGTTTTTGAAAATTAAAAACAAAAGTCAGCTTTTCCTCTCACTTTCTAACTCATAATCCCTTGGTAAATGTGGAAACCGGTTTTTGTCTCCAATGCTATCTATATTCGCTTATGCATATGCCATGGGATTCATTTTTAATTTTGAAAAGTTGAGCCTGGTGACTTCTTTCCAGAGAGGAAAACACCATATACACATTCCACGGCTTGTTTCTTTATGAGTTTTTTGTTCCTTTCCCTGCACCAGTTATTGGATGAAATCCCACCTGCGTCCCCCTGAGTGATGTTGTAAATAGTGAGGCGCGATATCGAGGTCATATTGTTGAGCACGAAGGTGTAAACCGAGAATCTGCTGTTGTTCTGGATGTCGGAGTGCCTTTCGACATGGTGCCAGGACACGTTAGAGGACAAAACTTCAGTTTCACACATCAGAGTTACCGTGTCCCCTTCAAAAATGATTTCTGGCACGATGGTGAACTTAGTTTCATCTGGAAACCCAAAGAAAAGGTAGTAAGATGCCAAGGCAAATGAATGTAATTCACGCTACCCACCGGACGCCCCCACCACATGGGTCCGTGGTGCTGTCTGGAATGAGGCAACACATCCTCCTCATTCCATGCCCGGATAGCTGGTGTCTGAGGCCCAGAGACTTACCAGCTGCCAGATACCGGGGACATGGCTTCCAGTTTGGAATCTTTGCACAATGGTAGTAATGGAAATGGTAGTAAGAACCCTCAATGGTAGTAACGGGAATTTCAAAGCTCTTTTCAATATTTCAAAGAGTCTGGTGGAAAATTGCGCATTTGCTGCTAAAAAAGCCACCCCAGCTAATTTAAACATCAAGCTTCTTTGCTACTGACTCAATAATATCAACAGCTTCCTGCTGATAACAAATAACCCACACCACTGAATGCTCTGTCCTACGTCTTTGATGAATTATAAACAGGGAAAAAATAATTTCTTGCAATAGTCTGTTAAGTTTTTTTTTTTTTTTTTTTTAAAGACTCAATACCCACAGGCCCGTAAGAAAGAGAGCTTGTTAGACATACAGGTCCAGATTTGAATTTTGGTTCTGTGCCACACATGGCTGTGTGGCCCTAGGGAATTTACTAAGCCTCTCTGAGCCGCAGCTCCCTTGTCTGGGAAACAGTAGCAGCAAGAGCTATCATGGGAGGTGATCTGGGGGAATGGTACCTACTACTGTTTTCACAGTAAAATTCTGGAGAACAATGTCATGAAGTCATTTTACGCGTAGAAATAAAACACAACATTTACTATTTTTGTGCGTGTGTTTTATGGCTGTCCTTTGCTCACACAACATGCAGTCTATGCCCTGCAAGCCGTGTTTCTTATTCTATGTCCTTCATGAATTCCATGTGTTGAGGGAATCAGAGGGGCTGGATAAAGAAGCTGTATGAGGCCTCTTTTACACGGGCGTCAGGCTCAGGCCAGACCCTTTCCATATTGTAAACATGGGACCAAAACACCGTAAAATTAATTTGGGGAGCTATGATGTTCCAGTCAAAATGTCAAGGTATCTAAATATTTCTTATCTCTTTTTTTAGGCTCCTGAATTAAATAAGATTTTAAAATATCACATTGAACTGTTAAGAAGCCAGGCCTTCTGTGAATATTGAATGTAGTGAACGGACTCTGAAGTCATACAAACTTATGTTACTTACTCTGTGTTCTTGAGCACATTCTTTACCCTCTCTCAGCTTCCATTTCCTCACCTATAAAATGGAGATAATAGTACCTGTCTCACAGGATATATGAAGACAAAATATGTGTAACCCTCTGGGCTTAACACAGGAAAGACACAATAACAATGTCTCTCTTCATTATCATTGTCGCCAATAATAATGATTAGTAAGACTGCTAGTAGAATGTGGTTATGTGGAATTGACCATAAATCTATCGGCAGTGATTAAAGGAGCATTCTGGTTAAGTGACCCTGCTAATTAACCAAACATTAATTATATTGAGGATTGATATACCACCAAATAAATGGAAATGTTCTGAACATTGCCCTGTGCCCTTTGTAGTTCATAAAGGTTTATTTTTTTTATTTTTTTTTATTTTTTTTTTAATTTTTTTTTTTCCAACGTTTTTTTTTTAATTTATTTTTGGGACAGAGAGAGACAGAGCATGAACGGGGGAGGGGCAGAGAGAGAGGGAGACACAGAATCAGAAACAGGCTCCAGGCTTCGAGCCATCAGCCCAGAGCCTGACGCGGGGCTCGAACTCACGGACTGCGAGATCGTGACCTGGCTGAAGTCGGACGCTTAACCGACTGCGCCACCCAGGCGCCCCTGTTCATAAAGGTTTAAAATAAGTTCCTGATACTCATTCGTTTGGCTCTTTTTCTTTCTGGTTCTGTTCCTCTCCTCTGCCTCCAAATATAACTATAAGTTAAAAACAAACACCCAGTCACTTGACCTTCTGGATATTTATATTCTAGGTAAATCCCACCAACACTATGGAAAGCAGGATGATGTCTGAGCTCTCCCGTGGAATTGCACACGACATAAGTTCGTGTTTCTTGGTCTGAGTCCGTGCACATCCCAGGATCATCCTGGATGTAAACCCTCTGTAGAAGCAGGGTCAAGTGCCGTTCACAATGGCTTCATTGCTCTTTGGAAGAATAAGGCACAAACTCCAAAGTGCCTTTGTGAACTGCATTGTCAACACCATGTTTCTGGACCGGCAGTCAGCCACTAACCAGTAAAACTCGTTTAAGTGGCTGACTAACCTCAACACAACTGAAATTTGGAGGAGAGAGTAATCATAACCAAAGCTTACCTCTGCGAGAGGCCGATATTGTCCTCGGCCCTCAGAACCATAAATACAGGGACTTGTTCAAGGCAAAACCTGTGTGGGTTGGGGGGGTGGTGTTGGGGGTCAGGCAGGGGTGGCATGGCTGGCTGTCTTCCATGGGAGTCTGAATTTTAGGCCACTCACTCCTCTTCCTTCAGTTTTCCAGTTTTCACCTGTGTTGTTGCTGCCTTATTTATTCCAATTGTTATTTTTCTTTTCTCCTTGCTTAGGTTGCAGCACTTTCTTACCACTGTGCATATCTCTTTTAACATTTTGTTTTTGAAAATGACCTGGCATCTAAAACTACCGGAGAATGTAAAGGCGAGCCGTGTAAATCTGTCGTGGGGACGGCCTAACCCCTGTGCCCTGTCTCCCAGAGGCGCCTGCAACTGACCTTTCAGAGTCCTCCCCGAATGGACGCAGCGTGGTTCTGAAGAGGCATAGACTTTATTCTGGAACCACGTACCAGAATTATCTAGAACATCTGCCTCAAATTCTTGCCTGCCAAATCTCTGCCCAGCTGGCTCTCTCCTTTCTATTTCCCAAGTGACAATAGGTCCACCCACCTGGTAACACACCAGAACACAACTCTGTACCCATTTGTAAAATGGGGGAAAGCATCTGAAAATCCCAGGATTTTCACCACTGCTCTATGGGATCCAAAGCAGAGGTTCTCAAACTTTCCCACACGTTAGAATCACTTGAAGGGCTTGTGGAAACACAGATCGCCCTGGTTGGTTGCGGTGGCCCTAGGAATTTGTATTTCTAACAAGTTCCAGGGGATGCTGACGCTGCTGGTTTGGGGGGGGGCATACTTCAAGAACTACTTCTCTAAAATAACAGTAGCAATTGTTTAATATCAGTGCATTTCATGAATGTCCCAACCCCACTCCAATGTTCGTTTTTGGATGTTTTGGGACTTTTTTTTTTTTTTTTTGAGAGCAAGAGAGAGAGTGGGGGAGGAGCAGAGAGAGAGAGAGAGAGAGAGAGAGAGAGAGAATCCCAAGCAGGCTCCATGCTTTCAGGGCTCTGTCCTGATCACATGAACCACGAGATCATAACCTGAGCCTAAATCAAGAGTTGGCTGCTTAACCGACTGAGCCACGCAGGCGCCCAGATGATGTGGGACTTCCGATTATGTGTTTATTTTTTTATTTTTAATTTTTTTTAACATTTATTTATTTTTGAGAGACAGAGCATGAGTAGGGGAGGGGCAGAGAGAGAGAGGGAGAGACAGCATCTCAAGCAGGCTCTGGGCTCCGAGCTGTCAGCACAGAGCCCGACGCGGGGCTCGAACTCACAGACCGTGAGATCATGACCTGAGCTGAAGTGGGACGCCCAACCGACTGAGCCACCCAGGCGCCCCCAGACTTCTGACTAAAAACGAAACGAAACAAAACAAAGCCCTCCATCGACCCGGATGGCTCTGGGACCCTCCTGCAAAATCTCTCCCCACTGCAACCCCTTTCCCAACTGCAGTGACATTAGCCTGGTTGGCAGGATCTGTAACGGTGCCTCAGACGGGAAGCCTCTGTGCCAGGAACCAGACAGCCTGTCCCCATGGAGGACACTGTAATGTAATTTCCTGGTTTTAAGCATAACGATAAATACCATTGCTATAGCTAAATAGAATCCATGTATAGGAAAAACGTGGAGATGTCCTACTTACTGCTAGTAACTACTTGAAAGGAATTGTAGTCCATTTTGTAGGTCTGATTAAGGTTCCGCATTACTTGATCATTTGCTTTACGCATCAATTCAGGTGATGGTGTTGTAGTCTTGACCTCGTATGTCACAACCACACTTCCGGGCCTGGATGGAGACCAGTCAGTTCAGTAAGGCAGTAACTGACCTGGAAGAGTCTAGATCCTTATGGTTTATTTACATGGGAAAACAAAATGGCAAGCACAGCCTGGGTACTTTTTATCTTCAAAGGTTCACTCAAATCAACCCGGTTTCAGGCTCTAGCTGAAAGCCTGCGACAAAGGCTTGCACACTCAAATGTCTGCAGACAGGTAACATAAGTGAGCAAAACGGCTGGACGGGAATGAGTGAAGTGAATCACACAAGTTGGTCATAGGGTCACAGCCACAGTGCAGAGACTGTTGTCACACAGCCATGCTGGCCCGAGGTTACCAGATATGCTGAATGTCAACTGAAGCAGAATCCCGAATGTTTCTGTGAACATTCTTCGTTGTTAAAATTGGCATCTAACTTTTTGAAACACTGTGCATACCTCCTTAGGGCTGCCGTGGAGCCCAACTCCAGGCGGAGCCATTTACATAGCAGCGTGCAACTCTGTGCCCGTGGCTGGCTGGACAACTTTTCTTGAATAAAGGCATCATGCATGACATTCTTTCACTTTTATATTTTGGAACTCCCTAGTCTGTGGACTTATCCCTTATCTGTTTGCAAAACCCCTGCAGGCACAGAATAAACACAAGTCTTGGGCTCATTCTCCATTTAAGCAGGTATATCTGTGAGGAGCGAGTTTCCGTTCTCAGTATTGCCTCCCTCTTTGCGCCCTACCAATCGAGCATTGTCTCCACCTCTACCAAACTGCTCTAGATGATGCCCCTCTAATGGGTTGTTTCTTCTTCACTAACGTAGTGGTCTCTGCCGTTGGGCAGGAATGACCCGATTACAGTTTCTTACCTGAAACCTGTCACAGTCACCAATTTGAAGCCTGGTAAAATACTGTAACCTTTCCAGAACTGGAAAACAAAGAAAGACAAGTGTCATGTATCAAGGTCCAGTGAGAGATAAGTCAAAAGGTTGAAAGCAGAGTAAAAAGCACATATTTTTTCTTATCACCAGGTACAACTTTCTCCTGTATATTTTGTTAAGGCTAATGCTGACAGAACTTTGAAGAAGTAATTCCTCTTGACCTATGTCAGCCTGGGTTCTCCAAGAAGCAAACAAACACCAGATTTAATGTGCCAAAAATTTCGCTCAGGGAAATGCCTGGCAGAGAAAATGGGGAGGTTTCTCTGAACACCATCCCAGGGAATTCATTTTGATTCAAGTCACATTTACGAGTAGATGCAACATGCAAAGCACTGTGGGTGCAGAGCACTGTGCCAGGAAGCTGGGTTGGTAGGGTCCAAAGATGAATATGCAACTCTCTCTTCCCTCAAAAGCATATAATTGAGGGCGCAGCATGTGCGGAAGGTTCTCACGCTGTGTAGCGCTATCACATGCCAGATATGCACATCGGATGTCCAAGAGCCCTTCGGCGCTTCAGCATGGCACCCACAGAAAACGAAACCTCATTCATGTGGTTTCCAAGGGTAAGCTGAGGCTGCTCCTGGCCTGAGGCAGGGGCTTGGCTGCCCAGAGAGTTAAGGGAAGTCATTATCTCAGCCCCCCTGTAATAATTTGTACCACACCAACTGGGACGCTCTATCGCAAATGAGTTCACTCAAGCAAAGCCTTTAGATTCAGATGAATTAATCCAGTGTAAATCACTTAGAGTAATGTCTGGCACTCAGTTAATACCCCGGGAATATTCTCTATTTTTATATGAGTAAATAGAAATCTGTCTTAAGTGAGAATGCCTCATGACCTTTAATGTGGAATGATTTGAAACCACGGTGCCAGCCTTGGGCTGATCTACCCAAAAGACGTTAGGGCTTCATCCGTGAAGTGTGGGAAGACAAATAGAAATGCACCACCAGGTGCTTCTAGACCTGAATTGGATTCAGTGGGTTGATGACACCAAGTCTTCTCTGAATCAATTCTACCCTGGGAGGAAGTTCCACCTATAGGTCGAGATGACGTAAAATCATCCCCTGCGCACTGTTGGATTTGAACACTCCGTAATTCATCATCCCAGATATCTAGGAATATTTTTGATGCCCATATTCATAAACTCTGACAGAATTTATCCTTGGTGAATGCAACAGATTCAGACCAGCCCAAAGAACTCGTTGGCTAAGATGTTCTTGGGGTCAAAACCTACCGCTGTTTCCAAGTCAGTCTTGTAGGACCTATAGAGAGCAGAGGAAGAGTTCTTGAGGTCTTGTTGAAAGCCCACATTGAGTCGGACTGACATTCTTAGGGTAACATCTGCTGAAAGAATCACAGGGCAGTATTTCAAAATCTCATGTTAGCGTTCGAATACACACAGGACCGAGAAACATTTGCCTGAGTTGATATCGGTCAGTCAACAAACAAACAAACAAACAAACACTTAATCAACAGTTACTTACCTCCCTGGAGCTGGCAAAAAGGTCCCTTGGGAGGTAGTCCTTTAAGGCAACTGCAACGATGCCCTGCAGGGAAGCCATCATGCTCTTGACAAGTGAGATTGTGGAGACACCTTTCTTGAGGCCACCTATAGCCTGTCTCACACGAGCACCAGATTTCATTTCCAGTAGGTCTGCAGACTATCAACAACCAGAACAGTGAGGAGAGAGAAGGTGCTCACCACCTTTACATGTATAGACTGTAAGTATTTGTACTCTGTAGAAAATTCTAACTTGACTCCACATTGCCCTTTGGGAAGTTCAACAGTACTACGTGAGATTCCTGTGATTCCCGTACACATCACCAGGCTATTAGGTATGGCCGTCTGACGGATGACTGCTCTGACTGTTACAGCGGATGCTTACAATAATAATGGGATAGACAGATTTCTGGGCACAAAGTGTATGGTAGCCAGCTTCCAAGGCAGCCCCTGACCACCCCTGTTTCTGACTATTAACACCGTTTTGTCACTCACTCTCATGTTGCCCTAGACTTAGTCTGTGTGACCAACAGAATATGGCAGAAGTGATGATATATCACTCCTGAGATTAGGATATAAGACGCTGTGGCTTCCTTCAGTGATGTCTGTCCCTCACCACTAGCTCCGGGGGGAAGCCAGCTGCCATTGCATGAGGACATGTCATGGAGAGGCCAACATGGTGAGAAGCAAGTCTCCAGTCAACAGCTAGTGAGGAGCTGAGTCCTGCCAACAACCATGTGAGTGGGCTTCAGAGAGGATTTTCTAGCTGCAGTGGAGCCTTCGGAGAACTGCTACTCTGCCCGAAGCTTGACTGCGCCCTCATAAGAGACCCTGAGCCAGGGTCACCCAGCTAAGCTCCTTCTGAATTCTTAGCCCTCAGAAGCTGTATGGTACGATAAATGTTTGTTGTTTTAGGATGCTAAGTTTTGGGGTAATTTGTTAAACAGCAAATACAGAGTACAAATAAAATTGTGCCTGTTATATTTCTAGTCACACGTAAACAAACCAAATACTTTCTAATCCCACTGGGGACATTGGAAAATGCTCTGAAAACAGAGGGCTTTGAATTTATTTCTAAAACTCGATTGAAGTCATGTCATGGGGAGCTGTCTATTCTAAGAGTGACTACCCAAAGGAAAGTCATCAGATCACTGCTCCTGAAATAGGAGAGGCACCCAAGTTCTAGTGAATCTGTGGACACTGATGCAGTCCTTTGCTACAGCATAGGTGGGAAGGGCATCCAGAGGGAGCTAGGAAGCAGCCATTTCGGGTTCAGCTAGCATATATTAAGAATAAAAAATTGGATTGGGGTGCTTGGTGGCTCAGTTGGTGACCTCTCTCTCTCTCCCTCTCTGCCTCTCTCTCCCATTCACATGCTCTCTCTCTCTCTCTCTCTCTGTCTCAAAATCAAAGGAATAAACATTGGAATGCATAGACTGATGCTGATGAACTATTTGAACTATAATTCAAAAAATTCTTGAAAGACAAGAATTTTATTCTGGCCTCCATTTTAGAATCATGAAACCCCAAATCTGTTAGTGTTTGCAAGGCAATACCTTTGTTTGGGACAAGGGGGACTCCCATATCATAGCTTCCCAGGTGATGGTGCCTGAGAAATAGGACAGCTCACATAACCTCAAAAGGAAGGCAGCGATCAGAAAATCCCGTCGCACAGCCCTAGAGTTTCTGTATTATGTCTTGCTTCCAAATCCAGGTGTGTACCTGGTTCCCATTTCCTGACCTATGCTCCCAAAATGAAGGGAACTTGCTCCTTATTAATACCTGAACCAGCCCTTGCCGTACCCACTGACTACCCAGACGGATGGGACCAAGTAGCCTGTTGTGAAGGACCTGGAAGTATCTTGGGACCATTTTGTGACAACCAATACACAAACCACCAAGCAAACATTTGGCTCCCATTTGAGATAAGGAACTGGCTATGGAGTCTGCCAAGAGGGGCTGCATTCTGGAAGGCCGTGAAGTCATAAAATCACACATCAGGCCTTTTTGAGTCACGTCACTTGCCTACGAATTGCAATTTGCTGTGACAGTAAGGAGCTCAGACAGCTTCTCTCCTGATATTCCCAACCCTCCATTCTATAGCAACGGGCCTTTGACTCACCTGTGGTCACCTCAATGCTTAAAATGGTGGTGGTGGCTTGGTCAGTGCTGTTCCCTTGAATTGGGAAACTGAGGCTGTTCAAGTAAGTTTTGATAGGCTCCAGGAAGGAGGCATTTTCAAAACTGATCTCAACATCAACCGTGTACTCTTCAGCCGCAACTCTGCTTGAGGCAACTGAAAGGAAAGCATAGGAACCTGTGAGAATTCACCACGGCGGCGGGGGGGGGGGGGGGGTTTGGCGGGCAGAGAGGGAGCATGGCGGACAGTTCCACATTTAAAGGCAATTACAGGACTATGTGGATGCTGGCACATCAGCCTTGCCCCCTTCATGGTGCTCCCTGTCTATGACTTTACCATTTAAAGAAGGAAGGCAACTGATCTTTCTGGTCCAAGTATAGTGGCCTCTGGCCATTTGAGAGATTCACAGGCTAAGCTCAGGACCTGTCTAGAACAGAAGCAGGGAGATCTAGCAGGGGGCCTTGGCATCATCCAGACAATAAAGCCACGGTCCTGACTCAGAGAAATGAGTCAGGGTGTTTCCAACACCATTCAACTGACATGTGTATATTTTGAGATCTGAACTACGCATGGCTTGAAGGCCTCCAGGAAGAGTCATCCTGTTAATTCCCTTTGCCCTTAGCCTACGCACATAGCATGGGCTCTTAGTTCTCGCTGTGTACCTCTGGTGTCCTGAACATGATGGGTACTCAACAAAAGTAAAATTTGCCCAGGAGAACGTAAAATCAGAGATATCTCCAGCTCTTCATCGCCCTTCCAAATGGCCTCCAGGCTGTTTCTGTGTCTGGCATCCTAGATGCATTTGATCCAACACATACCCACCCACCAGCAAGCCAGACAATGTATATACTGGAATGTCCTTTCATAATTTCCTGTATTACATCATGTCTGGTTCACTAGTTGTAAGCTTCTCAAGGGCAGGAACTATTTCTTTCACTTCTCATGGCTTGACTCCATCTGGCATGGAGCTCACCCCATAATAAACATGTGCCCAATTAGCTCTTATTAAAATTGTGACCCTCTAAGAGAGCCACACATTCACCTCCCCATCACTGCCCGAATCTTTGGCTCATTCTTGGCTGAAATACATAAGAGGAGCAGAAGCGAGTTTCATAGCTAATGATGAACCTTCAAAGATTAGGAGAAATTTTTACACAGATGCGTTGAGAAGACAAATTGTGGCTTATTTGATCTTGTCAGTCAAAGAAGGAAAAGGTTAGAGAATACTTGCAAAAGTATTACTTGAAATTTTAAGTCAAATCTGATGTATATTTTGCATGATGTATATTTTGCCAAAAAAAAATCAATTCTATGTTTTCTAAAAGGGCAAAATTTTTTCCCATAATATTGCCAGATTTGTTTAAAACGTTCCAAGGAATATTGATGTGAAGGACTAAAAATGAGTTAAGTTCATTGTGGGAAACTCCAGTAAATAGGTTTTTATTACAGAAAGCTGTAATATTTGTAAACTGATAGTTATAAACTATGCCTTGGAAGGCTGATTTTAGAATCACTCACTAAATTCTACTCCTAAAACCAATGCTACACTACATGTAACTAATTTGAATTTACACAAAATCTTGGAAGAAAATAGGCAAACAAACAGTCAAACAAATAAGAAGAAGTTGGGTTTTACTCATCAGCCTTGTTGAGAAGTATTTCATTTTGGCATCCGTCCTGCAACTTGCTGTAATTAACTCAAACTGTGAAAAAGTCTTTGTGTATCTCTCAAAATTAAGACTGCATCTTAAGGTATATTTCCTCCTTATAAAAAATGTATTTACAAGCAGAGCAAAAAAGGCTTTTAAAACCCGACGCAGAGTCACAGGCTGTCATGATACCACAGCGATGCCTAAAATTTCCTGTTTTGTTTCTGATTCTCTGATGGTTCTGTGATGAAAACAGGCTTCCCGGAAGAATTGCTAACCTTAATCTGTGTGAGCCTAACTCTAGACATGGTGGGTTGCCCACAGGGAACATTTGAGAGGAGGGCGGCTGCATAATATTTATAAAGTCTGCCTTGGAGCATATTCTTTTTCCTGAAAAGTAATGCAATGTTTATACCCTCCAGCGCATTCCTAGCTCCAGGATTCTCTTTGTCCGTAGGCAGTCTATCTCCTCCCTTGAATGCAAACAGGATATCCTAGACGGTAGGGTTTTTTAGCAGAGTGAAGTCAATAACAATCCCACATCCCCCACTTCCTCATCTGCGTCGTTGCACCCCAGGGCCTGACCCCCACCATAGCCTCAATGCCTGCCGGCTCACCATTCCTCCCGCTCACCCCTGAGCCCACCCTTTCCAGACACAGTTCATGGTGATTCATCAATGGCATCATTCCCCACTGAAACCAAGGTGGTCCTTCCAGTGAGATCTTGCAGGGAACTGAGCCACAAGCTTAAAATATGAAGAGGAAAGTTCCTATGGTTTTAGCAAATTCTCTTCCATGGGATTCGTGCAACTGTAATTAAAGCACTAGCCTCTAAGTTCCTCTCCGCTCATCTGCTTTTTATGTTCTTCAACAACTTCTAAAGGAGTTTCAGAACTCCTGAGTGCCACTTCTCCCTAGAGGCTGATAAAGATGGGGACCTCGACTAGAGAAGGAAATGCCGTCAGCATGGAAATAGTTCTTTAAAACAAGCTCAACAACCCAATAGTAACTCAAAAAGCTAGGGGCTTGCCCTTGGAAGTCGTCTATTCCAGTGGTCTGCACTTGACTGATGATTATGTACATCTAGGGAATTCAACACACATGAATACTTTGGAGTCTCAACCCAGGTGAGTCAAAGTAAAATCTTCATGGATTAGGTCCAGAAATGTGTGTGTGAGTATGTGTGTGTGTGTGTGTGTGTGTGTGTGTGTTTCAATTCCCACTGGTGATTCTGGATCAGGCAGGTTTAGGAGTTAATGTTCTAATCCAAGTGAGGAAACCAAGAAAGTAATCCTGGAGAGCCAATATTAGCGCCTAAACTTGTTTTTTTTTACATGTGTGTGTGTTTTGTTGTTTGTTTGTCTTTGTTTTGTTTTTGCTTTTGCTTTGTTTGTCGTTGCTGTTGTTTTCAGACACGCCCTGCTTCTGGTCCTATGGAGACAGTCAGGTGGCCTCCAAGTGCATTTGTGCACGTCTTTCTTCAGTCATGCCAGATGGATCAAAAGTGATCATAACAGAAGTAACAACAATAATAGCAGCTGCCATTTATTCATTGGCCAGTAGGGTCTAGGTCATGAGGAGAGTATGCATATACCCATTTTGCAGATGATAAAACTGAGGCTTGATGGGTTAAAGCCACATAAATAGCAAATGTTAAAGCTGGGATTTGAAACCGTATTTTCTTAACTCCAAAGTTCATTTTACTTTTTTTCCCTTAAATGTTTTATTTAATTTTGAGAGAGAGAGAGAGAGAGAGAGCGAACATGAGTGGGGGAGGGGCAGGGAGAGAGAGAGAGACAGAGGATCTGAAGCGGGCTAAGCACTGACAGCAGAGAGCCTGTTGTGGGGCTGAAACTCACAAACTGTGAGATCATGACCTGAGCTGAAGTCAGACGCTCAACCCACTGAGTCATCCAGGCGCCCCAAAGTCTATTTTTTCTTTTTAAAAAATTTTTTTATGTTTATTTATTTTTGAGAGGGAGAGAGACAGAGTGCAAGGAGGGGAGGGTCAGAGACAGAGGGAGACACAGAATCTGCAGCAGGCTCCAGTCTCCAAGCTGTCAGCACAGAGCCCGATGCACGGTTGAACTCATGGACCACGAGCTGAAGTCTGATAGTTAACTGACTGAGCCACCCAGGCACCCCAAGTCCATTTTCTTTTAACCACTCCTTGTCACAACTCTAATGGAAGAAGATAATGAAAGTGACCACTTTGTAAACCCTAATGTACTCTAAAAGACAAAGAAGGCATTATTATGAAATGTGTCTTTAGAACTAGTGTGCAATTCTCAAAGTCAATTTCAAAATAAAAGCATATCCAAGAGCCAAATTATTAATAATAAATGGAAGAATTATCTAAAACATTGTTCTATTTGTTTCAGCATCATAAATGTCTTAGAAATCCACACTGAGGAAAAACACACTGTGACCCCTCATTGACACTCATGGGTTTTGATCTTAAGTCTAGCTAGGTTTATTCATTTGTGCCCTAGTTTCTTGACTTATCGATTCATAAGTAACTTTACTGTTGGCTGAGTGCCTACTTCCCAGGCACGACGCTAGGTGCTGGGGACCTGGCGTAAATAAGAGAGGCAAAGCTCTACCTACTTCCATGGGTCTCCTGCACCCGTGCGGGAGGTAAAAGTAGGCTGAAACTTCAATGTCAGGCAGTTCTGGAGGGCAAGGAGATACTAAAGCAGGGTCAAAAAACAGAGTGGCAGGCAGAGTGAGGGCAGAGTGGCATTTTAACCATCTAGAATGGTTAGAAGAGACCTTTCTAAAGCCATAAACGTTGAGCAAAGATGCAAGTGAGAGGAGGAGATTGCCATGTGCATATTCGGGGCCTCTTACTCCAGGAAGAAAAAATCAGGACCAAAGCCCCGAGAGTGATTTCCATGGCCTGCCTGAGGAACAGAAGATGCCCTCGGGATCTGGGTCATTCCTGTCCCTGTATGGCCCTGGGGGAGTGTCTGATTTGATGTGCAGGTGTCATTGTGACCCACAGGTGGGTGGGACCAGAGGCACACTGTACTCACAGCCCTGAGGCAGACCCACAGTTTGGGATGGAAATGCCAACTCCTGCTTGCCTCGCCTCTCCCAAACCTGAGGACTTTGGAGCTGGGGAGAGTGATGTTCCTTGATCTGCCCCAGGCTACAAGGGGGCTCAGGAGGAACAGGGGATGGTTTTCCCACTTCTGTGTCATTGTGTGTCCTTTTAGAGCCCCTTAGGTTCTTCTCTGCTGCCTCTGGACCATCTGATTCCAGAGTTTAATGTGTTTGCTTTTTCTTGGGCTCCTGTGGCCTCTTGCCGTTTGCCTGAACTTTTCTGACTCAACCGATGCCCCAAGTGGAAGGTAGCACATTCCAGGTGTCATCAGTGTCACAGATGGAGGCCTATCGGGCAGGCCCAGAGGTACGACACCACCAGGATTTCCCTTCTCTTTTCCCATAAATCGCTGCCCGACACGCAGCACTTATCTTAAAGAGACATTTCTGGAAAGTTGGCCA